CTGATGTGTTTTCGTTCTCATTGATTTCCATGAATTGTTTAAGTTCTTCTTTGAGTTCTTGGTTGACCCAAACATTCTTGAGCAGAGTGGTCTTTAGCTTCCAAGTGTTTGAATTTCTGCCAATTTTTTCTTGTGATTGAGTTCCAGTTTTAGAGCATTATGGTCTGAGAATATGCAGGGAATAATCTCAATCTTTTGGTATCGGTTGAGACCTGATTTGTGACCCAGTATGTGGTCTATTCTGGAGAAAGTTCCATGCACACTCGAGAAGACTGAGTATTCTGTTGTTTTAGGGTGGAATGTTCTGTAAATATCTATGAGGTCCATCTGGTCCAATGTATCATTCAAAGCTCTTGTTTCCTTGTTGATTTTCTGCTTAGATGATCTGTCCATTGCTGAGAGTGGAGTATTGAGGTCTCCTACAATTAACGTATTGTTATCAATATGACTCTTTATTTTGATTAACAGTTGGCTTATATAGATGGCTGCTCCCATGTTGGGGGCATAGATATTTACAATTGTTAGATCTTCTTATTGGATAGAACCTTTAAGAATGATATAGTGTCCTTCTGTGTCTCTCATTACAGACTTTAGTTTAAAATCTAATTTGTCTGATATAAGAATTGCTACCCCAGCTTTCTTTTGAGGTCCACTGGCGTGGAAGATGGATCTCCATCCCTTCACTTTCAGTCTGGTTGTATCTTTAGGTTCCAAATGAGTCTCTTGTAGACAGCGTATGGATGGGTCCTGTCTTTTTATCCAGTCTGCAACCCTGTGCCGTTTTATGGGAGCATTTAGGCCATTCACGTTGAGAGTGATTATTGAAAAATATGAATTAATTGTCATCATGTTGCCTATGAAGACTTTGTTTTTATAGATTGTCCCTGTAAATTTCTGTTGTATATCACTCTTGGGGTCTTTCTCCTTTTATAGAACCCCCCTTAATATTTCTTGCAGGGCCGACTTAGTGGTCACATATTCTTTCAGCTTCTGCCGGTCGTGGAAGCTCCTCATCTCTCCATCCATTCTAAATGAAAGCCTTGCCGGATAAAGTATTCTTGGCTGCATGTTCTTCTTGTTTAGTACCCTGAATATGTCTTGCCAGGCCTTTCTGGCTTGCCAGGTCTCTGTGGATAGGTCTGACGTTATTCTGATGTTCCTCCCTCTGTACGTAAGGAATGTCTTCCCCCTAACTGCCCTTAAGATGGTTTCCTTGGTTCTAAGATTTGCAAGTTTTACTATTACGTGCCGGAGTGTTGGCCTGTTTTTGTTGATCTTAGGAGGGGTCCTCTCTGCCTCTAGGACTCTAATGTTTGTTTCATTCCCCAGATTAGGGAACTTATCAGCTACGATTTGCTCAAATACATCTTCTAGTCCTCTCTCTCTCTCCACTCCCTCCTGGATTCCAATTATTCTGACATTGGAACGCTTCATGGTGTCACTTATTTCTCTGATTCTATTTTCATGGATTCTGAGTTGTTTTTCCCTGGCCTCCTCTTTTCCCTTTTTATCTATTATATTGTCTTCCAGGTCGCTTATTCTCTCTTCTGTCTCAGTTACCCTAGCTGTTAGATTATCTAGATTGGATTGGATCTCATTGATAGCATTTTTAAGTTCTGCCAATTCACCTTTTATTTCTGCCCTTAGAGACTCTATGTTGCCATTAATTGATTTCTCCATTCTAGCCATTGTCTTCACAATTGCTAGCCTGAATTCCATCTCCAACATCTTGGTTATATCTGCATCCATTTGTAAATCTGCAGCATAAGTCATAATCTCTGAGTCTTTTCTGTTTTGGGGGCTCCTCCTCCTAGTCATTCTGTTGATGGGTGTTTGAAGGAATGTATAGAGTCCAAATTATTGACCAGAACCCAAGCAAGATGCACCTGTTTTCTTGGGACCTTAGGGTTGCTGGCCTCTTGTTTTCCCAGCCTGTCTTCTGTGGAAGGGGCCTGCCGCGCTGTTACTCAGGCAACCCTGTTTGGGCGGAGTTGCCCTGTGCCCCTGTGGCAGGGGATGGGCTCAGCGGGAATCAGGTTTTGGGGCTTTTGTTCTCTGGCGCCTTTCCCTGGCGGCTTTCTGCATCTCTTCCGCGAGTCAGAGCAGAAGAGACCATTTCCAACCCTCTGCCTCAGAGCAGAGAGACCGCAGTCTGTTCTTCAGTGAGCCCTCCAGGCCACACCATCTCCGTTTCTGTCTGTGCTGCTATAAACTACAGCGGCCTGGGTTGTGCGCCCCTCCGCAGCGCCCCCAGTCCTGCCTCCAGGTCAGGGCACGTCTCTGCCCTTTGTGCTTTTAAAACCGCCAGCCGCTCCCAGTTCGTGCCCGCGCAACTCCGCCGCTCCGGGTTTCTGCCCCAGGGGCTGCAGTTCGCAGGCACGACCCCACCGCTCCGGGTTTCCGTCTTGGCGGCTGCAGTTCGCGTGCGCGCGACTCCAGTTCGCGTGCGCGCGACTCCGTCACTCTGGGTTTCCACCCCGGGGGCTGCCCTAAAGTCCTTTCCCGGCGCTACCGGTCTGTGAGTCTGTGCCCGTCCTCAGCGCACGAGGCTGTCACTCACCGGCGGTGTAGGATCCCCACGGCCAGGCACCCTCCCGCTGCCGTTTATCCTCCGATATCTGCCCACAGAATCACGGCTCCCCACTTCGTACCTCAAAACCAACCGCCTGCGATATTCTCTTTGTGGAGATCCAGATCTTCTTACATCTCAGGCTGGTTTCGTGGGTGCTCAGAGTGGTCTGGTAGATATCCAGCTCAATTTCGGGGACCAGCTGAAATAGGGTCCCCTACTCCTCCGCCATCTTTCCCCCCTCCCCTGCTTATACTTTAATTAAGCTGTTTTTTTAAAGTTTTATTAGTTAAGTAATCTCTACACCCAATATGGGGCTTGAACTCAGGACCCCGAGATCAGTAGTCCCACATTTCTCTGACTAAGCCAGCCAGGCACTCCTAATTAAGCAATTTTGATCAGTAAACATTTTTCAGATTTTTGCCATTATAAATAATATTGTGATAAAAATCCTTAAATATAAATGTGTCTCCATTTCTGATTCTTTCCTTATGAAAAAGTCTTAGGCCTAGAATAAAAGATAGAAACTTTTTTTAAGATTTATTTATTTATTTGAGAGAGTGAGAGAGAGCATGCACACCACGTGTGCATGTGTTGGGGGGGAAGGGAGGGGCAGAGGGAGAGAAAAAGTCTTAAGCAGGCTGCACAGTGAGCGAGGAATGAGGAGCCAGATGCAGGGCTCAATCCCATTACCCTGAGATCATGACTTGAGTCTAAATCAACAGTCAGTGCTTAACTGACTGAGCCACCCAGGCACCCCTAAACTTTTTTTTTAAGTAAGCTCTGTGCCCAGTGGGGGCTTGAACTCACAACCCCGAGATCAAGAGTTACATGCTTATTGCCTAAGCCGGCCAAGCACCCCAAGATATAAATATTTTTTAAGTCCTTATTAGGACTTAAATATCTAAAACAGAGACTGAATATATTTTTTGATTCAAGACAATGAGGAGTTACTTGGGGGCTAAACAGGAAAAGGTTTAGATTGCTCAGCTTGAGATGAAAATTTTAACTGTAGGCTGTTAGAAAAGTTAGAAAAATCACAAAAGTAGAATGAAGAAGGAAGGTAAGTACTGAATACTAAAACATTTAGGAGAAATTCTTCAATGTTTAAGCCTCTGATAAGGACCTGAGAAGTATGGATTTATAATTAGGATATACACCTCAACTTCATATAGGCTAGACTCACACACTTCTTCACATTAAAATAGCATTTAGCAGTGCCTTTCGACAATGTGCTCTGACTGTAATGGACAGGATGGGACAAAGAGTTTCTTGAGAAGAAATGAAATGTACTTTTTTTTTTTTTTTAAAGATTTTATTTATTTTAGAAAGAGAGCACTCGAGGCATGGGGAGGAGCAGAGGGAGAGGGACAAGCAGACTTCACGCTAAGTGTGAAGCCTGCGGTGGGGCTCATCTCATGACCTTGAGATCATGACCTAAGCCCAAAGCAAGAGGATGCTTAACTGACTGAGCCACCCAGGTGCCCCAAAACATACTTTTTACCCTATTTTAGTGGTATGATGAGGATACTGCACCCTCTATTATAAAAAAATTAACGTAAAATTGCATTGAAAACATGTAATCTGTGTTTTGAGACTGAAAAGTAGCTGACTGTCTCCAGGATGAGGACTATGAAATACACAGAAGTTGAAATCTATCCATCCATTGACATTAAACAAACTGCTTCAAAATTATTTAGGAAGACTATGTGTGGAAAGCTATAGTTTATTTAGTGTTGTAACTCTTTAAATTCCCATTTGAAGTGACAGATGTTGTAGAGGACTGGATATTCATTGAGCTCTCTACTCTGTTTCTAGCCTAGAACCAGAGCTGTAAGATACATGAGAGGGAAAGGTAGATGAGAGTTGCTTATTCACAAAGCCCTAATTGGGGGTGATGTATGTAGAAGAATGATCATAGCCCTTGAAGGTAGACAGACTTGCTTCGGTTGAATCATGGCTGACTCTACTTATTAGCTCTGTGGCCTCAGCAAAATTCCTCACTTTTGGAGTCCTCATCTCTAAGATTAGATACTACCCTGCAGAGCTGAAATGAGTATTAAGTGAGATAGTGTATGTAAAAATAAGGTATGCATTCCTAATAAATCCTGATGCTACGTATATGGTAGCTATTGTTTTCCATATTATTATGTCATTAGAGACAGTTTTATTTGTGATAAATACTGACATCACTATTTTATAAACATTTAATGAACCTTCAATATAATTTTAAAATTCTCTATAAAATGCATTATATAAAAAAGTCTTAGCTACATTGCATTTACTGAGTTTAGGCATATCAGATTGAATTCTATAACTATAAAATACACTGTTACATAAAATTAATTTTAATAACATAAATATTAGGTAAACTTTGCTTTATAAGTTTTTCTAAATAATCAGAATCTATTTTACCTTGTTTTCTTTAAAGGCTTCTCAGTCTTGGATTTGAAAAGTTCGTCAGAGTTGGGAGTGTCAGGAAGATTGCCAAGCCAATTTTACCTTATAGGTAAGAACACTGAATTCCAAAAGTCAGAGTGCTCAAAGAAGTATAATAATTCTGGGACGCCTGGGTGGCTCAGTCGTTAAGTGTCTGCCTTCTGCTCAGGTCATGATCCCAGGGTCCTGGGATCGAGCCCCCTGTTGGGCTCCCTGCTCAGCGGGAGGCCTGCTTCTCCCTCTCCCACTCCCACTGCTTTTGTTCCTTCTCTTGCTGTCTCTCTGTCAAATAAATAAATAAAATCTTTTAAAAAAAAAAGTATAATAATTTTATATAATTTTAAATTTGGTTTTTGAAGAAGAGTGGAAAAGCTTTATTTTTTTGGGTTAACTTAGAAAATCTGTATTTTACTTTTTTATAATGTGAAAATGGGATAAAAAGGGATATTCTTTTAAGTAATTCTTTTTTAGTTTACATGCCTCAGAAAATGAAAATGAACAACTGAAAGAACTACATGCACTAATGAAAGAAGACTTGACTCCTCTGGAAAGGGTCTATGTCAGAAAAAGTATTGAACAGCATAAACTGGGGACCAATAAAACCCTGCTGAAGCAGGTAAGTTTGTTTCTTAATTTATATATACTACTCAAAATTCTTTTATTCCTGTTGATGGAGAATATTTCCTTTAAATAAAACAAATGACTGTGATAGCTTAGATTCAAATAAAGTGTGTGTATGTCTATCCAGTGCATATTTTTATCTTATAAAACATTCTTCAAATTTGTGAACAGATCCAACTTACCATGACTGAGTTATCCTCTCTCCTTTTCCGTATTTGTAGATCTTTTTATAAGCTTAAAGAGGAAAGAGAAGAGGTGGGAATAGACTTCCTGGAAAGTTAAAATGAAACTTGGTTTTTTTTTAGGTGCAATGGGGAAGGAAAAGAAGGTCTGACCCTGGACAAAATACCCAAGTGAAATTTGTCTTTAATGCCTCCCTAGAAAGCCAAGCCTTTCAGGGTCTGTCTATATCTGAGAATCTAGGATGCTCAGACACTTGCTTCTAAGTATTGGAAGCCAAGACTGGACACACAGGATCCCAAGCTGTAACAAGTAGCAGTATCCCCTTTATCAGCTTCTGATCCGGGGCGGCTTCCTTTAGCTGGTAGCTGATGAGAAAGAAGTCAATCAGTAGCTTCCTCCAGTGAAAGGAGAGCTTGAGGAAAAGAAAGAGGAAGGGAAGAAAAGAGGGTTCTTGACTTCTTGGACTATGTGGACATTGGTTACTTTCTGCAAGAGATTTGGAAAAATCAACATACTTGGATCCCCATATTATGTAGCTATTTTCAGAAATATTGCTGCTTAACAAACATCTCAATACTTTAAGACAACAAACTTATGACTCTAAAGATCATTTGGCACGGCCCAGCTTGAGGCTATGGTTCAGATCTCTCACTCTGAGAACATTTGCTTATGGCATGATGGTCTTCTCCTGACAGATGGCAGAAGTGCAAGAAGGAAGCCTAGATCACACAAATACATTTAAAGCTTTTGTTCATGTCATGTCTGCTAATATTCCATTTGCTGCAAAAAGTCATATGGCCATGCCTAATATTTAGTGGGAGAGGGAAATACACTCCCCCTACTTCTCTGGTGAGAAGTACTGCAAAGTCACATGGCAAAGAATGTGGATGTGTAATACTCTTACAGGGAGGGAGAGAGAAATTGGAAATAATAACCAATCTACAAGTTTTGATTACAGAAGTCCTCAGGTTTCAGACTAGCTTTCTATTATTTTGAGTTATAGAGTTAACTCTACTTTCTTCTCCCCAACTAAATCCAGAAGGGCTTAGTTTGACTGTGTTCAATTAATGCAAATTAGTCATTTATGTAAATTACTTATCATTTTACTCACTTATCCAACATAATATTGATATGTAAGAATAATTGTTAATGATTTCTTTGATAATTTTCTTTTTTTATTATTATTATTTTCCAAGTGAAAGCCCAGATAGCATAATCTATTGTTCATTGGTATTATCTGTTCACAAATGAAAACTCTTTTATTTATTTTTTTAAATTACTTATTTATTTTAAAGAGAGAGAGTGAGTGAATGTGTGTGTGCATGCACATGCATGTGAGGGGAGGGGTAGAGGGAGAGAATCTTCAGGCAGCCTCCCCACAGAGCTTGGAGCTGGATCAGGGCTTGATCATGACCTGAGCTGAAACCAAGAGTCAGATGCTCAACTGACTGAGTCGCCCAGGCGCCCCAAATGAAAACTCTTTTAAAGGGAACATTTTTTAAAAAGTTTTGTCTAACAAATTTCCAAGGTCCAATTAGGCATTCAGAGCTAACACATTTCTAAAGTGACATGTCTTTACAATAGAATTAAATTTTAAAAATGCTTCATAGTTAATTGCTATTTCCTAGATCAATAATAAAATATCTTCTGGGGTTAGAATCTTAGCAATATGATGACAAATTAGTAGATACTCATATAATATTTTAAAGAAAGCTTAGTTCTTTATGTTTTTGTATTAGCTATTATATTTTTTTTTTTTTAAGATTTATTTATTTGACAGAGAGAGATAGTGAGAGCAGGAACACAAGCAGGGGGAGTGGGAGAGGGAGAAGCTGGCTTCCTGCGGAGCAGGGAGCCCGATGCGGGGCTCCATCCTAGGATCATGACCCGAGCCAAAGGCAGACGCTGAACGACTGAGCCACCCAGGCACTCCTAGCTATTTCTTTTTTAATGGACAGAGAGAGAGAGTGAGAGAGGGAACACAAGCAGGGGGAGTGGGAGAGGGAGAAGCAGGCTTCCCACCGAGCAGGGAGCCCGATGTGGGGCTCAGTCCCAGGACCCCAGGATCATGACCTGAGCCGAAGGCAGTTGCTTAACCAACTGAGCTACACAGGCTCCCGCCCCTAGCTATTTCTTTTAAAAAAACTTCTTCCTGGTTCATAACTTTCGGGTTCTCATTCTAAGGTTGTCTTTCTCTGACTGATTTACTTTTCTTAGGATTGTACTCTCTAGCTCCATCTATATCATTGCAAATGGCAAGATTTCATTCTTTTTTATGGCTGAATTTCCAGAATTCCAGAAATTAAATAATGAATGATATTTGAGAGTGGTACCATGAGCAGTGTATTTTACTACAGTGGTGTCTTCTGCTGGATCATTTTAAAAGAGCTGAATATTCAAAAAGTGTGGAGTTTCTAATATAAATGTGGCTTTGTGATTTTTGTTTTTAACAAAAGGAAACTAACTGACAGAGGGCTGTTACACGTGATGAATGTTATTATTAATGTATATATTTCTTGTTTCACAGGCTCTATGGAGGCAGTATTTAATTTGTAAAGCATATTTTTGTCAGTCACATTTGTTGACAAAAGATATGGTCTGTTTGTGTGGACTGCCCTTGCTACCAAAAAGTGGAATTATACTTCAGATTGTTAGGAGAGAAAAAAAATCGTGTATGCGTATGTGTGTATATATATGTGAGTGTGTGTGTATGTCTGTAGCTATTAGACTACTAGGGCAATTGAACACATCTAATTAGAAAATTCAGTGATTTTCCTCTTGTTTATGTTTAGTTCCAGAGATTAAATATTAGCTTTTTTATCAGGCTTTTTGCCTTGAGAATAATGGTATTCTGCTATAATAATTTGAGAATTATAAGATTCTTACAGGCTTACAGGCCACAAGTACACTTTAATTTACTGTTGTTTAGAAATAGTATTCTTTACTTTCTTAAATAAGTCAAAATCCTAGTGTGATTGAAGGTTAAGCAAAATACAGTTTATAGCATATTCACTGTTCTTTGTGGAGAATTGTGGCCTGTGTTGATAATAATGCATGTTGCGTTTATCCAGCTTTGTTTAGAAGGATAAAATATTGATGTCATCATTAATATTTTTTAAATCCCTGATAATATAATACCTTCCTTGTGAATATCAAACTGTGCCTTTTATTTGTTCTTATTAAGGGACTTGTGGCTTAAGTAGCCTATGTTCTGTGATTTCCATTTCCTACGTGGAAATAATAAAAATGTGGAGATAAAGTGACCTGTTATTCCTGATTGCCAGTAATTAGGACAGCTCATTTCTGATTTTAGATTTACAAGTTCTTTGGTAAATACATTATCTTATTTTCTCAAAAGGTTGTTAATTAATAACATTCTTGTTGTACTAAAGGTGCGAGTAGTTGGAGTTACCTGTGCAGCCTGCCCATTCCCATGCATGAATGATCTTAAATTTCCTGTAGTAGTGCTGGATGAGTGTAGTCAAATAACTGAACCGGCCTCTCTCCTTCCTATTGCAAGGTAACCTAAAAATTTCTTTTCTGAAAAGCACTCAGATATCACGATTATTTCAAATAATTTCGCACTTCAAACTCTTACCAAACTTTTGTGAGTATTCTTAGCAATTTAGATACTAAACTGATTATTTAAAAGAATGCAGAGACCTGTACCTCTGAAACAAATAATACATTATATGTTAAAAAAAAAAAAGAAGAAAAAGAAGAAGAAGATAGCAGGAGGGGAAAAATGAAGGGGGGAAAATTGGAGGGGGAGACGAACCATGAGAGACTATGGACTCTGAGAAACAAACTAAGGGTTCTAGAGGGGAGGGGGTGGGGGGGATGGGTTAGCCTGGTGATGGGTATTAAAGAGGGCATGTTCTGCATGGAGCACTGGGTGTTATACGCCAACAATGAATCATGGAGCACTACATCAAAAACTAATGATGTAATGTATGGTGATTAACAACATAATAATTAAAAAATAAATAAATAAGAGAATGCAGAGGAAAATTTAGGGGGGTTGGTTAATGTGTCAAAATTTTGTTAGATCACAGTTGAGATATTTGGATCACATAATTTTTTTTTTTAACTTTTAATTTTAATTCCAGTTAGTTAACATAGTGTTACATTAGTTTTAGGTGTACATTATAGTGATTCAGCGCTTCTATACTTCACCCTGTGCTCATCACAAGTGTCCTCCTTAATCCCCATCACCTATTTAACACCCCCCCAGCCTCCCTCTGGTAACCATTAGTTTGTTTTCTCTAATTGAAAGTCTGTTTCTTGATTTGTCTCTTATTTTTTCCTTTGTGTATTTTATTTCTTAAATTCCACATATGAGTGAAATCATATGGTATTTGTCTTTCTCTGACTGATTTACTTTTCTTAGGATTGTACTCTCTAGCTCCATCTATATCATTGCAAATGGCAAGATTTCATTCTTTTTTATGGCTGAATAATATTCCATTGTATATATATACCACTTCTTCTTTATTCATTCATCAGTCAATGGACACTTGGGCAGCTTCCATATCTTGGCTATTATAAATAATGCTGCTACAAACATAAGGGTGCATTACCCCTTTGAATTAGTGTTTGGTTTTTTTTTTGGAAGAGTATTTCTTTTTTTTTTATTATGTTATGTTAATCACCCTACATTACATCATTAGTTTTTGATGTAGTGTTCCACGATTCATTGTTTGCATATAATACGCAGTGCTCCATGCAGAACGTGCCCTCTTTAATACCCATCACCAGGCTAACCCATCCCCCCACCCCCCTCCCATCCGGAACCCTCAGTTTGTTTCTCAGAGTCCATAGTCTCTCATGGTTCATCTCCCCCTCCGATTTCCCCACCTTTTGAATTAGTGTTTTTGCATTCTTTGGGTGAATAACCAGTAGTGCAATTGCTAGATCGTAGGGTAGTTCTATTTTTGATTTTTTGAGGAGCCTCCATACTGTTTTCCACAGTGGCTGTACTAGTTTGCATTCCCACAAACAGTGCATGAGGGTTCTTCTTTCTCCACATCCTCACCAATCCAGTTGTTTTTTGTGTTGATTTTAGCCATTCTAACGAGTATGAGGTGGTATCTCATTATAGTTTTGATTTGTATTTCCCTGGTGGTAGATCACATAATTTTTTTTAAAGATTATTTGAGAGAGAGAGAACACAAGTGGGGGTAGGGGAAGAAGAGGAAGAGAGCAGACTCCCTGTTGAGCACGGAGACCCACACAGGGCTTGATCCCGGGACCCCGAGATGAGGACCTGAGCCGAAATCAAGAGTCAGACACTTTTCTGACTGAGCCACCCAGGCACCCCAGATTACATAATTTTTAAAGCCTTGATAACTCTAGTGCTAGGATTCTCCTAGGACCTTGCAGATTTCTCAACTAGATTAAAGGTTCCACTATAGATTTTTCTACAAAAACTGGACATTTTCCCATGATATCCTACCTCTATTTAGAAAGACATATAGCCCCCAGGAGCCTAATTTACTCCACCTCTAAAATAAGAGTTTAAGCCAAATGACTTCTTTTTTTTTTTTTTTTTTAATTTATTTATTAGAGAGAGAGAGTGAGAGAGAGAGCACAAGAGGGGGAAGGGTTAGAGGGAGAAGCAGACTCCCCGCTGAGCAGGGAGCCCGATGTGGGACTCGATCCCGGGACTCCGGGATCATGACCTGAGTCGAAGGCAGTCGCTTAACCAACTGAGCCACCCAGGCGCCCTAAGCCAAATGACTTCTAAGAAAGCCTCTGAGTTTACAAAATTTAAAAGTCATTGTTTCTCAAAATGTGTTCTGCAAAATGCTAGTTCCATGCAGAGGCAGGTAGACATTTAGCAAATTTTATGTGGAAAAAAGTTGTAAAGGATTTTTTACTGAATAACTTCAAATCCCTTTAATACATTTATTAACATTATTAAGCCTTGTTAGTTACCAGAACTTTTTTTTTAAGATTTTTTATTTTCAAGTAATCTCTGTACCCAGTGTGGGACTTGAACTCACAGCCCAGAGATCAAGAATCGCATGCTCTACTGACTGAGCCAGCTAGGTGCCCTAGTTCCCAGAACTCTGTGGTATTCCAGTTCTTTGAAATACATGCTAGAAAATAGTGCATTAAGGGGTGCCTGGGTGGCACAGTTTGTTAATCCTCTGACTCTTGGTTTAGGCTCAGGGTCATGATTTCAGGGTCATGAGATCAAGCCCCGTCGAGCCCCTTGAGCCCCATTGGGCTCCGGGCTCAGGAGTCTGCTTAAGTTTCTCTCACTCTCTCCCTCTGCTCCCCTACCCCTGCTTTTTCTCTCTTTCTCTATCAAATAAATAAATTTTAAAAAACAAAACAGTGCAACAAGTGATGTGAATGCATGCTTTTTGTTGTTGTTGTTGCTTAGATTAACTTTTGGAATTCTGTTTTTAGGTTTGAGTGTGAAAAGCTGATTCTTGTTGGAGATCCCAAACAGCTTCCTCCTACTATTCAGGGTTCTGATGCAGCTCATGAAAATGGATTGGAACAAACTCTTTTTGATCGGCTTTGCTTAATGGTACTACTGCTAAATTCATACAGAATTATCATTTATTGATTATACACTATGTAGATTGATAGAAAATGAAAATATTAGAACTACTCTATGCCCTAAAATAATTTTAACTGGAATTGTTTAGAAAGTACCCCTCTTAAAGATAATTTAAATTAATTTAATTTAAATGCCTTTTTATAAAATGAATATTTCCCCCATGTACTTTAGTAATGGGTAGTAAATACATTGCTTTTGCTCCAAAGTTTAAAAAACTCTATAATGTCTCTATTATCCCTGTCCCCTATTGTAGAGCTGTTGTAGAGTACTACTTCACATTTAAAAGAATTTTTTCAATTAATTATTAATATATTTTTAAGTTGAGGTAACTAATTCACCATAAAATTAACCATTTTAAAGTGAATAAGTCAGTGGCATTTAGTACATTCACAGTACTGTGTAACGACCCCTCTCTAGTTTCAAAACATTTTTTTTTTTTCTCTTAGATTTTATTTATTTATTTGAGAGAGAGAGAATGAGAGAGAGCACATGAGAGGGTGGAGGGTCAGAGGGAGAAACAGACTCTCCGCCGAGCAGGGAGCCCGATGCGGGACTCGATCCCGGGACTCCAGGATCATGACCTGAGCTGAAGGCAGTCGCTTAACCGACTGAGCCACCCAGGCGCCCCTCAAAACATTTTTATCATCCCAAAATAAAACGCCATACCTGTTGAGCGGTTATTCTCCATTCCCTCCTTCCTCCAGCCCTGGCCACCAGTTTGTTTTCAGTCTGTATAGATTTATCTGTTCAGGAGATTTTATATCATACAGTTTACAACTTTCATATCATACAACTTGGAATCTATACAATATTGACCTTTTGTGCCTGGCTTCTGTCACTTACCACAGTGTTTTTGAGGTTCATCCACACTGTAGCATATGTCAGTGCTATATTACGTTTTTTTAAAAGTACATTCACAATGTAGTGCAGCTATCACCCTACTCATTTCTAGAACTTTTTCATTATCCCAACAGAAACTTTGTACCCATTGTTTAATATGTTTTCCTGAGCTGATAACCTCTGTTCTACTTTCTTCCTCTATGAATTTGCCTACTCTAAGTGCTTTATATAAGTAGAATCCTACAGTATTTGTCCTTTTGTGTTTGGCTTATTTACTTAGCATAATACATTCAGGGTTCATCCATGTTGTAGTATGTGTCAGAATTTCATTCCTTGTTAAAGCCAAATAACATTCCATTGTGTGTAATACCCCATTTTATTTATCCACTCATCTATGGATGGATATTTGGGTTGTTTCTATCTTTCAGCTATTGTGAATAATGGTGCTATGAACATTGGTATACAAATACCTGTTCACGTCTTTGCTTTCAGTTCTTTTGATTATACACCCAGAAGTGCTACTACTGGGTTATATAATGCTTTTATGGGTTTTTTTAATCCATTCTCTTTTTTGTTTTTAAGTTTTTATTCAAATTCCAGTTTGTTAAAATTCAGGTGTACAATATAATAACTCAGTACTTCCATACAACACTGGGTGCTTCTCACAACACGTGCTCTCCTTAATCCCCATTACCTATTTAACTCATCCCCCTACCAACCTCCCCTCTAGTAGCCATCAGTTTGTTATCAGTAGTTAAGAGTCTGTTTCTTGGTTCCCTCCCCCGCTCTTTTTTCCCTTTGCTTGTCTTGTTTCTTAAATTCCACATATGAGTGAAATCCTATGGTATTTATCTTTTTCTGACTGACTTATTTTGCTTAGCACTATACTCTCTAGCTCCATCCATGTCATTGCAAATGGCAACATTTCATTCTTTTTTTATGGCTGAGTAATAATACTGCATTGTATATATGTATATATACCACATTTTCTTCATCCATTCATCAGTTGATGGACACTTGGGCCGTTTTCACAATTTGGTTATTGTAGATAGTGCTGCTATAAACATCGGGGTGCATATATGCCTTTGAATTAGTGTTCTTGTATTTTTGGGGTAAAGACTCAGAAGTGCAAATACCCTGCATCATACGGTAGTTCTATTTTTAACTTTCTGAGGAACCTCCATATGGTTTTCAGGGTGGCTGCACCAGTTTGCATCCCCACTAAGAGTGCAAGAGGGTTCTCTTTTCTCCACATCCTTGATAATTTTATGTTTAACTTTTTGAGGAACCACCAAACTGTTGTCCGTATCAGCTGCACCATTTACATTCCCAACAGCAATTTGTCAACAAAATATTCCAGTTTCTCCACATCTTCACCAATATTTGGTTTTTTTTTTATATTTTTTGAGTTTTTTTAATAATAGCTCTCCTAGTGAGTGTGAATTAGGTATCTCATTATGGTTTCCCTAATGACTAATGACATTGAGCATTTTTTCATGTGCTTAAAGCACTTTGGAAAAATGCTTATTCAAGTGTTTTGCCCAATTTTGAATTGGGATGTTTGGTTTTTTGATGTTGAGTTGTATGTGTTCTTTATATTTTCTGGATATTAAACCCTTATCAGATACATCATTTACAAATACTTTCTTCCATTCTTAGGTAGTCTTTTGTTTTCTTGACAGTATCTTTTTTTTTTTTCTTTTTTTGAGAGAGATAAGTGCTCACATGAGCAAGTGGTGGGTTGGGCAGAGGGAGAAAGAATCTTAAGCAGGCTCCAGGCCAGTGCAGAGCTTGACATGGGGCACAGTCTCACGACCCTGAGATCATAACCTGAGCCAAAATCAAGAGTTGGATGCCTAACCAACTGAGCCACCCAGGTGCCCCTTGACAGTATCCTTAGATGCACAAAAGTTTGTAATTTTGATGAAGTCCAATTTATCTATTTTTTCTTATGTTGCTTTTGCTTTTGGTGTCATAGCCATGAAATTGTTGCCCAGTCCAGTATCATACAGATTTCCCCCAATGTTTTCTTCTAAGGGTTTTATAGTTTTGGCTCTTACATTTAATTCCTTGATCCATTTTGAGTTAATTTTTGTATATGGTATAATGTACAGACCAACTTTTTTCTTTTCCATGCAGATACCCTGTTTTCCCAGCACCATTTGTTGAAAAAACTGTCCTTGAATGGTTTTGGCACCCTTGTCAAAAATCAGTTGACTATGTGCAGGTTTATTTCTGAGCCCTCCATTCTATTCCATTGGTCTATATGATTTAATTACTTTTTTATGGCTGAATAATACTTCATTGTATATATATACCACAATTTGCTTGCCTTTTTATTATTACTATTGTTTTGATGCAATAATCTAAATCAAGCTGTTTTTATAAGCAGAAGATTAAAATATTATAGCCAAAAGAATTATAGAAAATCTGTTGCCAAAAGAAAAATTTTATCATTGTTGCTAGCTTATTTATTATTATTAATTTATTTTTTCATTGGTGCTAGTTTATTCCTTTTAAAGATTTTATTTATTTATTAGAGTGAGAGTGAGCAAGAGCACATGCACAAGCTGGGGGAGGGGCAGAGGGAGAGGGAAAAGCAGACCCCTTGCTGAGCAAGGAGCCCGATGTGGGACATGATCCAGGACCCTGGGACTTGAGCTGAAGGCAAACACTTAACCAACTGAGCCTCCCAGGCACCCCCATTCTTGCTAGTTTAAATTGCATTTAAGGGGTTATCTTGCTGTTTGAACTTTCAATAATCTGTACTTTCTTAAGAGAGGAGAAAAACTGAAATGAAACTAGAAATGATGAAATTTCAAATAAATATTTCTTTACCCATAAGAAATGTTTTTTCCTAAAAGATCCTCTAACAGATTTTAGACAGATGGATTGATTTCTTTGCTCTGAAAGGTAGAGATATTAGTGCTCTCATGCTTTCCCCCCTTTTCTTATCCCTTCCCATATTCCTATTGTTGTTAGATACATCATTATTCTTTTTGTTCTACAATCATAATTTGTACAGTTATTTAGAATCAGTTCCATATTTAAAAGATTCAGTACTTCATTCATCTGGGTACCTTGGACTTCATCATCATTTTTTTTCAAGAATGGCTCATAGATGCCTACTTTCCTGAGTTCTTTTGTTTCAAATGTCTATTGCCTTTAAATGTAAATGGCCCCTTGGCTTATTGAATTGTTGCTATTACTATGAATTTTAGGGCCAGCCTGATTATTTTCCCCTTGTAATGATTTATGTTTTCTACCTGGATGCAAGAACTCTTTTTATAACCTTAAAATTGATAAATTTACTACAGTATATCTCAGTGTGGAGCTTTCTGTAACTAATTATTCTGTAATATAAGTTCTCTCAAAGTGGAGATTCTTTTCTTTCTTTGTTTCAGGAAAGCTTTTTTTCTACCTGTGGAATTCTCTATCAGTAGCTTGTCTGTGCAGCCTGCTATAACAAAATACCACATATTGGATGGCTTAACCAACAGATTTATTTCTCACAGTTCTGGAGGCTGGGAAGGCCAAGGTCAAGGTACCTTCAGATTTGGTTCCTGATAAGAACTCTCTTCTTGGCTGTATCCTCACATGGTGGAGAGAAAACTCTGGCCTCTTCCTCTTCGTATAAGGAGACTAATCTTATCATGAGGACCTCATCCTCATGACCTCACCAAAACTAATTACCTTCCAAAGGCCCCACCTCCAAATACCATCACTTTGGGGTTTAGGGCTGCAACATAGGAATTGGGTGGGGGACACATTCAGTCTAAAACAGAGGTCCCCCAGTTATTCTTATATTGGGTATCTTCATCTGTCTTCCATTTATGTTACTTTAATTTCATCCTCATTACCTGTGAAGCCTTTTCTACTATGTCTGTTCCTCTTACGTTGAGTTGGAAGTTGCATAGAGTTTTGAGTTAGGTTACAGTGAGTTTTATGAAGAAATCCTATTTGTTCTTTGCTGCTTTTAGTTTATTCTTTAATGTTACTATTTAGAAAATTAGTTTGTTTCTTTAGGATTGTATTAAATACATTTTGACTTACGATATTTTCAACTTATGATGGGTTTATCAGGATGCTACCCCATCATAAGTCAAGGAAGATCTGTACTGTATTTCTCCCTTCTACTTAAAATTTTGTTTCTTTCTTGGTGACAAGTACTTTTTTAAAGTTTATGACATTGGGTTGGCTATAAACCTTTCTTTGTTGCATGGCTACTGAATTTTTTCTTTGCTGTTTTTAATATTTTGTTATTTTAGTATTTTGTTGTTCCTTTAGATATTAGAGAATGGATTCTCCAAGGCAGTTTTATTCTACTTTCTTCAGAAGTTTCCCCTTAAACTGAGTTTCAAGTTGATTTGAGTTTTGAGTTGAGTTGTACTCAATTTTGTGAGGACTCAAGCTTCATTGTCTTGAGCTTTTAATTGTAACTGAATTGAATTGCATAACTTTCTACCCCTTCCATAATGTCAGTGTCCAGATTCTTTTGAATCAGACCTTTCCAGTGGCTTTTAAAAAATCTTAATTAAAAAAATTCTTTAGGTTCTTAAAACATTTTTCAATAGGTAACATAGTCACATGATTCAGAATTTGAATTTAAGAGGAACGAAAAAGTAGAGTGACACCTTCCACTCCTGTCCCCCAACCACTCAGTTTCTCTCCCTCAAAGCAACTGTCATCTTTTTCTTGTATCCTTCTAGTGATAATTTATGCCAGTGTAAGCAAATACATAAAATATTTTCCCCCTTTTTAACAAATGCTAGCATACTATGCATGCTGTTATGCTCTTTGCTCTTTCACTTATTTGTTGTTGATGACTTTTAAAATATGAGTAGATTTTTAGAGGGAATTTTAAAAGGGCAAATAAAGGACTTAAAAGTGATTTATTCACAGAATAAAATGGAATAGAATTTACAAAATGGAATATATAAAACAGTTAAGGTGAATTCACTTGATCCATATAGACAGTTCTCATAAACATAGTGGATATTGAGAGAAGCAAGGTGCAGAGGGTTACATAGTGTAAAATACAATTTATGTGAATTTCAAAAGCATAACAAATAATATGTATTAATCATAGATACATGCCTCTGTAGTAAACATATAGAACTTGCATGGGAATGCCATAAGATACATTTAGTTTGGAGCTATTTCTGGAGAAGGTGGCAGAGGAAATAGATGAGGTGGGGGCTGTATCTGGATATGTCACATTTTATGTCTTAAGAGAGATCTGGGGCGCCTGGGTGGCTCAGTTGGTTAAGCAACTGCCTTCGACTCAGGTCATGATCCTGGAGTCCCGGGATCGAGTCCCACATCGGGCTCCCTGCTCAGCAGGGAGTCTGCTTCTCCCTCTAACCCTCCTCCCTCTCATGCTCTCTGTCTCTCATTCTCTCTCTCGCAAATAAATAAAATCTTAAAAAAAAAAAAAAGAGAGATCTGAAGCAACAATGACTAAATACTAATGTCAGATCTGTGTGGTACATACATGAGTATTATATTTTCTTTGCTTTTCTGTATATTTGAACTAGTTCAGAATTAATTAAAAGAAATAAAAATAATATCTACTAATCATGATAGAAAGTGTGGAAACTACATAAAACTAAAAGGTAAAAAAAAAAAAATAAAAAATCTATAATAACTTCACTGCCCCCAAGAGAAAATCCTTTGTAATATTTTAGTATTGTTCCTTCCAGCTTTTATCTTTGGGGTATATGCTTATATCAAATATATGTATATATATAAACTATAAAAATACGTATATTTGATATGTGCACACACGCATGTGCGCTCACACACACATTGGAATATGCAGCCATAAAAAAGAGGGAAATCTTGCCATTTGCAACAACATGGATGTACCTTGACAGCATTACGCTAAGTGAAATAAATCCGAGAGAGACAAATAGTATATATCGCTTGTATATAGGATCTAAAAAAGCTGACCTCATACAAAGAGTAGAATTGTGGTTACCAGGAACTGGGAGGTAGAGAGGTAGGAAAAGGGAGATGTCAAAGGGTACAAATTTCTGGTTATAGGATGAATAAGTTCTGGGGATCTAATTAACAGCATGGTGATTATAGTTAATAATACTATATTACATATTTGAAAATTGCCAGGAGAGTATATGTTAAATATTCTTACTATAAAAAGGATGTGGTAACTATGTGATGTGATAGATCTGTTAGCTAATGCTGTGGTGATAATCAGTTTGTAATATATAAGTGTATCAAATCAACTCCTGGTACACCTTCAACTTATACAATGTTATGTGTCAATAATATCACAATAAAGCTGGAAAAAATACATATATTTTTTACAAAATTGAGATCATACCATATAGTTTCTATCCTGCCTTTTTTTTTAAACTTTGCATTATAATAAATCATTTCCCTGTGTTACTAACTAGCTTTGTAATCATCACTGTTGTCATAAATATGTTTTATCACCAAATACGTAATGTGGATATACTATAATTTAGTCATTTCTCTAACATTTTTTCTAGTACTAAATCATGGTCCTTTGAGCATTTTTTTTTTTTTAAAGTAGGCTCCACAACCAACCTGGGGCTTGAACTCACAACCTCAAGATTAAGAGTCACATGCTCCATCTGCTGAGCCAGCATGGTGCCCCAGAGCCTTTGAGCATATTGTGTATTTTTGTCAGAGATTTCACATGCCCACTGACTTAGACTCATCCACAAACTTATGCCCTAATTAGTACTGAGGATTGGTTTTTTACTTACTGTTTTTCTCCCATAAAAAATACCTTGTCTATGTGATCATTAATCCTGCCTTTTACTATGTGCTTTTATTATTAGAGTAACTTGTAGTTATTTAAAATGTTCAGACAGTCCTATAGAACATTTTGCAAAGAAAGAACATGTTCCAGAAAAGCCCTGAAGTAGATGGAATGTGGATTTTATGATGCACTAACAAAATTGGAAACTTCTTTGAAGATTCAAAATGAAAGATGGCTTGTGCCCAAGGGGGAAAATTAATAAATGAGTTATCAACAACACTTTCTAATTTTTTTTGAAGATTCCCTTTCAATTTAGTGTCAAGCCAACTCTGCATAGATTCTGAAAGCATAATGTTAGGTGCCAAACTTATTAGATAATAATTTGAAGATTTGACCTGTTTTATATTTTATAATTTTGTGGTATAATAATAGTTTACCATGAAAATATTTTTAGTAATTAGAAAAATTTTATTTATAGTCTATTTCATGTTTGTAATTCATTTACAATCTATTTATAATCTATTTCATGGTTGTAATTCATTTACTAAGAGCACAATATGGTGATACTTTCAAATTTTAAAATATTTTTTTCCCTAAGAAAAAAAATGGTTTAATTTTTTATTTTTCTGCATTTAAATTTCTTAGGGGCATAAGCCAGTTCTGTTGAGAACCCAGTACCGTTGTCACCCTGCAATCAGTGCTATCTCTAATGATCTGTTTTATGAAGGAAACCTCATGAATGGCATTTCAGAAACAGAGAGGAGCCCTTTATTGGAATGGCTCCCAACCCTGTGTTTCTATAACGTTAAAGGACTGGAACAGGTAAATGACATTAATGTTAATGAGACTCAGCATGGTTTAGTTTCCGGGTTTAATTTTATTGTTGTTGTTTATATGGTTTTCTTGGTTTTTCCATAGCCTTTCTGGGAAATATAATTTAGGATCTGTTTCTTATTCCAGATTGAAAGAGATAACAGCTTTCATAATGTGGCAGAAGCTGCTTTTACACTCAAGCTGATTCAATCACTGATTGCAAGTGGAATAGCGGGCTCTATGATTGGGGTGATAACATTATACAAATCCCAGATGTACAAGGTTTGTATTACATGTTATGATACTTAAATATTATAATTTTATGTTGTAATATTTGATATTACATTTGTAGTGGTTTGGTTTGGTGCTTAAAAAACTTTTGGGAGTATAGTTAACATTAAAAAAATTCTGATTTTTGTCTGGTCTGGCTTTTTTTCTGTATAATTAAATGTAAACCTAACAAGGTTTAATTAAATTCAGTTTACAGCTGTTAGGGCAAAAATGCAAATAAACAAATTAGAGGGAAGAAAATACAGTGTATGCTTTGTGTTTTGAGACAGATGGGATTCAATCTTTGTTTTCCAAAATGTACTTTCATTATCATTTCATTTTATTAATCAAAGATAGATACCAGATATTAATGTACGCATAAGCCAATTACTTCTAACTAGTTTTTGCTTTTTTTAAAAAATATTTTTCATCTGTTTTATTATTTATCAACTCTGAATTAGCATATCCAGATGAATTTTCCAGCAATAGATAAATCATCACTTTTGATTTTGTTTCCTAATTTATATTGTCCTCTAGTTATTTATGTATCATTTTAGAAACTATCTACCAAATCTTTGTGAGTCATAAAAAAGAAAATGAAAATGAAAATTATCCACTACCAGTTAAATAAAAATGGCTGCTGTGAATTGGTTCAGGTCTTAAGTTCTTCATAGTCCCTACCCTGTATGATCTCTTTCCTCTTTCCTGCATAGCTTTGTCATTTACTCAGTGCCGTGGACTTTGACCATCCTGATATTAAAGCTGTGCATGTATCCACAGTAGATGCTTTTCAGGGAGCTGAAAAGGAGATCATTATTCTGTCCTGTGTAAGAACAAGACAAGTAGGATTTATTGATTCAGAAAAAAGAATGAATGTTGCATTGACCAGAGGAAGGAGGCATTTATTGATCGTGGGAAATTTATCCTGTTTGCGGAAAAATCGACTCTGGGGACGTGTGATCCAACACTGTGAAGGTAAGGTAAAAATATGTTTAATTCAAACATTTTGAATTGAAACTGACTTTTGAGTTAGTGCTTGAAGTGGTTCAGGTAGGAACAGCTCTGGATTTGCCACTGTGGGAGATGACTAAAATAGTAGGGGATCACTATGAAATACTGTTGTCTCATGTTTTGTATCTTTTTAAGGAAGGGAAGATGGATTACAACATGCAAGCCAGTATGAACCACAGCTGAACCATCTTCTTAAAGATTATTTTGAAAAACAAGCAGAGGAAAAACAGAAGAAAAAGAATGAAAAGGATAAATCTAAAGATAAATCTCATTCACAAAAAGACGTGGTATAGATAATTTGTATTTATATAAATTCAAATTCATTTTACACTATACATTTTTTATATTTTTTAATTACCCTAAAGCCTTATTATTGAAAAAACCTTTAAAGTATTTAAATAACATTAAATAACCACATATAAAAAATTTGCTCTTCAAAAAAAATATACATACTTATATTTAGATAGGCAGATGTTGAAGGTAATATAAAATCTTACTAATAAAAATACATTTTTTTCTAAAAATTATGGCTACTGTTTGCTAAAGGGATACATTTTACAAAGGGCATGGAAAAGGCTTTCTGGGGAATACCAGTGTTACTTCAAAAATAAGTAAGTATCTCAACACTTGATCTTAGCCAAAAGGCCAAGAAGTGATAAAAAAAAAAAGTATCTCAAAAACTCATCTATTACAACATGGCTACACAATTATATCAATACACTCCTTTCTGAACCATAGATCTATCAGAATCTTTTTTTTAATTCATTTTTTCTTAATTTTTTTTAATATATAATGTATTTTTTGTTTCAGGGGTACAGGTCTGTGATTCATCAGTCTTCTATAATACCCAGTGCTCATTAAAACACACCCTCCCCAATGTCCATCACCTCACCCAGTTACCCCATCCTTCCCGTCCAGCAACCCTCAGTTTGTTTCCTATGATTAAGAGCCTCTTATGGTTTGTGTCCCTTTCTGGTTTCATCTTGTTTCATTTTTCCTCTCTTCCCCTATGATCTTCTGCCTTGTTTCTTAAATTCTACATATCAGTGAGATCACATGATAATTGTCTTTCTCTGACTGACTTATTTCACTTAGCATAATACCCTCTAGTTCCATCCATGTTGCTGCAAATGGCAAGATTTTATTTTTTTGATGGCTGCATAATATTCCGTTGTATATATATATACCATATCTTCTTTATCCATTCACCTGTCAATGGACATCTGGGCTCTTTCCATAGTTTGGCTATTGTGGACATCGCTGCTATAAACATTGGGGTGCAGGTGCCCCTTTGGATCCCTACATTTGTATCTTTGGGATAAATACCAAGTAGTGCAATTGCTGGGTCATAGAGTAGCTCTATTTTCAACTTTTTGAGGAACCTCCATATTGTTTTCCAGAATGGCTGCACCAGTTTGCATTCCCACCAACAGTGTAGGAGGGTTCCCCTTTCTCCGCATCCTTGCCAACATCTGTTGTTTCCTGACTTGTTAATTTTAGCCATTCTGACCAGTGTGAGGTGGTATCTCACTGTGGTTTTGATTTGTATTCCCCTGATGCCGATTAATGTTGAGCACTTTTTCATGTGTCTGTTGGCCATTTGGATGTCTTCTTTGGAGAAATGTCTGTTCATGTCTTCTGCCCATTTCTTGACTGGATTATTTGTTCTTTGGGTGTTGAGTTTGATGGGTTCTTTATAGATTTTGGATACTAGCCCTTTATCTGATATGTTATTTGCAAATATCTTCTTCCATTCTGTAGGTTGTCCTTTGGTTTTGTTGACTGTTTCCTTTGCTGTGCAAAAGCTTTTTATCTTGATGAAGTCCTAATAGTTCATTTTTGCCCTTGCTTCCCTTGCCTTTGGTGATGTTTCTAGCAAGAGGTTGCTGCCTGTGTTCTCCTCTAGGATTTTGATGGATTCCTGTCTCACATTTAGGTCTTTCATCCATTTTGAGTCTGTTTTTGTGTATGGTGTAAGGAAATGGTCTAGTTTCATTCTTCTGCATGTGGCTGTCCAATTTTCCCAACACCATTTGTTGAAGAGAATTTTTTCCATTGGACATTCTTTCCTGCTTTGTCGAAGATTAGTTGACCATAGAGTTAAGGGCCCATTTCTGAATTTTCTATTCTGTTCCATTGATCTATGTGTCTGTTTTTGTGCCAGTACCATACTGTCTTGATGATCAAAGCTTTGTAATGGAGCTTGAAGTCTGGGATTGTGATGCCACCAGTTTTGGGTTTTTTTTCAACATTCCTTTGGCTATTCGGGGTCTTTTCTGGTTCCATACAAATTTTAGGATTATTTGTTCCAGTTCTGTGGAAAGAAGTTGATGGTATTTTGATAGGGATTGCATTGAATGTGTAGATTGTTCTAGGTAGCATTGACATTTTAACAATATTTGTTCTTCCAATCCATGAGCATGGAATGTTTTTCCATTTCTTTGTATCTTCCTCAATTTCTTTCATGAGTATTCTATAGTTTTCTGAGTATAGATTCTTTGCCTCTTTGTTTAGATTTATTCCTAGGTATCTTATGGTTTTTGGTGCAATTTTAAATGGGATCAACTCCTTAATTTCTCTTTCTTCTGTCTCATTGATGTATAGAAATGCCACTGATTTCTGTGCATAGATTTTATAGTCTGCCACATTGCTGAATTCCTGTATGAGTTCTAGCAATTTTAGGGTGAGGTCTTTTGCGTTTTCCACATAGAATATCATGTCATCTGCAAAAAGTGAGTTTGACTTCTTCTTTGCCGATTCAGATGACTTTGATTTCTTTTTGTTGTCTGATGGCTGAGGCTAGGACTTCTAGTACTATGTTGTACAACAGTGGTGAGAGTGGACATCCCTGCCGTGTTCCTGACTTTAGGGGAAAAGCTCTCAGTGTTTCCCTATTGAGAATGATATTCGCTGTGGGTTTTTCATAGATGGCTTTTATGATATTGAGGTATGTACCCTCTATCCCTACACTGTGAAGAGTTGTAATCAAGAAAGGATGCTGTACTTTGTCAAATGCTTTTTCTGCATCTATTGAGAGGATCATGTGGTTCTTGTCCTTCTATCAATCTTTTAAAAATGAATATATATAATGTCCTGTTATTTTATAAGTAAATACATATTCACAATAAAACTTTTTAGAAATACAAAAAGAAGAAGAAAAAAACACTAGAAATTCACTCCTGGAGATAGCAGTGCCCAGTACCTGGCCATGGCCACTACCCAGCACTGTACCTGGTATAGCAGGTGCTCAATAAGTATCTGTTGGATGAATGAACAAATGAATAAGTGAAAGACTACCTTTGGCTCATGTCCTTCTAGTCTTTATCCTGTGCATTTATTCACATGGTAGCTATTGACATATAGACTATATAATAAATTTTAAATTTTTAAATTTTGAAGTATTTTTTAATACACACATATAGAAAAGTGCATAAATTACAAGTATACAGCTAAGTGAATTTTTACAAAGTGATTACATCTTTGTAACCAGCACTCAGATCGTAGAACATAATCAACATCGAGGAAGCCCCTTCGTGTTCCCTCACTGCTACTACACTGTCATCCTCAGGATATCCTAACTTGTGAAAACAGAAAATTGTAATGTGTGTTATCATGTGCAGACTTTTCAACTTTATATAAATGGAATCACATTATGCTTTTACATCTGATTTATTAAATATTCTCGTGAGATTCATTCACATGTTTTGAATATTGGTAGTTTTTTTTTTTTTTTAAGATTTTATTTATTCATTTATTTGAGAGAGAGAGAGCACATGAGAGGGGGGAGGGTCAGAGGGTGAGGCAGACTCCCCGCCGAGCAGGGAGCCCGATGCGGGACTCGATCCCGGGACTCCAGGATCATGACCTGAGCCGAAGGCAGTCGCTTAACCAACTGAGCCACCCAGGCGCCCTTGAATATTGGTAGTTTTTAATATTCTCATTTCCATTTGATATTCCATTCTGAAAATAACTACAGTTCACTTTTTTTTTTAAGATTTTATTTGTTTTTGCAAGGGGGGGGCGGCTGGGGAGAGAGTGCACCAGCCAGGGAAGGGGCAGAGGGAGTAGCAGACTCTCCACTGAGCAGGAAGCCAAATGCGGGCCGTGATCCCAGGACCCCAGGATCACGACCTGAGCTGAAGGCAGTGCTTAACTGCCTGAGCACCCAGGTACCCTACAATTCACTTATCTATACTACTCTTTTGCCCCCCAGTTTTACTGAGAAATAATTGACATGCATCACTGCATAAGTTTAAGGAACAGCATGTTGCTTTGATTTACATATATTGTGAAATGAATTACCACAGTAGGTTAAGCTAATGTCCATCTTCTTATATAGATACAATAAAAGGAAAGGGAAAAAAGGAAAACATTTTCCTTGTGATGAGAACTCTTGGGATTTATTATCTTAACTTTCCTGTATATCATACAGCAGTATTAGCTGTAGTCATCCTGTTGTACATTACATCCCTAGTACTTATTTATGGTATCACTGGAACTCTGTACCTTTTGATCACCTTCCTCTGATTCCTTCTCCCTTTACCTTCCACCTCTAGTAATCACAAGTCCAATCTCTTTTTCTAGGAGATTGTTTTTTGGGGTTTTTTTTTTTGTTTTTTTTTTTAAAGATTTTATTTATTTATTTGACAGAGAGAGAGACAGCTAGAGAGGGAACACAAGCAGGGGGAGTGGGAGAGGGAGAAGCAGGCTTCCCGCCGAGCAGGGAGCCTGATGTGGGGCTCAATCCCAGGACCCTGAGATCATGACCTGAGCCGAAGGCAAATGCTTAACAACTGAGCCACCCAGGCGCCCCTGTTTTTTTGGTTTTTAATATGCCATGTATGGGGTGCCTGGATGGCTCAGCCAGTTAAGTGTCTGCCTTCGGCTCAGGTCATGATCCCAGGGTCCTGGAATCGAATCCTATGATGGGCTCCCTGCTCAGCAAGGAGTCTGCTGCTCCTTCTCCCTCTCCCCCTGCCCCTCCCCCTGCTTGTGCTCTCACTCTCTCTCTCAATTTTAAAAAAAAATCTTTAAAAAATATGCCACATATAAGTGAGCTCATACAGTATTTGTCTTTCTCTGACTTACTTTACTTAGCATTATGCCTTCACGGTCCATCCATGTTGTTACGAATGGTAGGGTTTTCTCATTTTTTATGGCTGAGTATATAGATAGATCTATAGGTAGATAGATATATAGATCAATCACAACTTCTCTTTTTTTAAGTAAGCTCCACATCCGTAACTTCCTTATCCATTCATCCATCAGTAACACTTAGGTTGTTTCCATGTCTAAGCTATTGTAAATAACACTGCTATGAACATGGGGGTGCAGATACCTTTTTGAGTTAGAGTTTTCATTTCCTTTGGATATATTTCCAAAAGTGTAATTGCTGGATCATATTGTAGTTCTATTTTTTAAGTTTTTGAGGAAACTCCATACTGTTTTCCATAGTGGCTGCACCAGTTTACAATCCTACCAACAACGGTACACAAGGGTTCTCTTTTCTCCACATTCGCACTGGCATTTATCTTTTTGATGATGGCCATTCTAACAGGCATGAAGTGACATCTCACTGTGGTTTTAATTTGCATTTCCCTAATGACTAGTGATGTTCAACATCTTTTCATGTACCTCTTGGCCTTTCATATGTCTTTGAAGAAATGTCTGTTCAGGTCTTTTTCCCATTTTTAAAACTGGGTTATTTGTTTGGTGGCTACTGAGTTGTATGAGTTCTTTATACATTTTGAATGTTAACTCTTTATCAGATATATGACTTGCAAATATTTTTTCCCATTCTGTAAGTATTCCTTTCACTTTGTTGATGATTCCTTTTGCTGTGCAGAAGCTTTTTAGTTTGGTGTAGTCCCACTCGTTTTTTATTTTGTTGCTTGTACTTTAAGGTGTCATATCCAAAAAATCATGACCAAAGTCCATGTCAGGGGACTTTACTTCTATGTTTTCTTCTAGGATTTTATGATTTCAGGTCTTACATTTAAGTCTTTAATCCATCTTGAATTAACTTTTATGAGTGTTGTAAGATATGGATCCAGTTTCTTTCTTTTATATATGAATATCCAGTTATTCCAGTGCCACTTATTGAAGAGATTGTCTCTTCTCTATCAGTATTCTTTGCTTCCTTGTCATTTATTGACTGTAGATGCTTGGGTTTATTTCTGGGCTCTTGATTCTGTTCCATTGGTCTACTTGTCTGTTTTTATGCCAGTACCATACTGTTTTGATGACCACAGCTTTATAGTATAGCTTGAAATTAGGAAGTGTGATGCCTCCTGCTTGGTTCTTTCTCAGGAATTCTTTGGCTATTTGGGGTCTGTTGTGGTTCCATATAAATTGTAGGAGTGGGGCGCCTGGGTGGCTCAGTTGGTTAAGTGACTGCCTTCGGCTCAGGTCATGATCCTGGAGTCCCTGGATCGAGTCCCGCATCAGGCTCCCTGCTCGGCGGGGAGTCTGCTTCTCCCTCTGACCCTCCCCCCTCTCATGTGCTTTCTCTCTCATTCTCTCTCTCTCTCAAATAAATAAAATCTTTAAAAAAAAAGATTTAAATTGTAGGAGTGTTTTTTCTACTTTGATAAAAAAAATGCCATTGGAATCTTGATAGAGGTTGCACTGAATCTATAGATGACTTTAGCTAAGTTTTGACATTTGACAATATTAATTTTTTCCAAACTATGAACAAGGGATGCCTTTCCATTTATTCTTTGATTTCTTTCAACAATGTCTCATACTTTTCAGAGTAGAGATCTTTACCTCCTTAGTTAAATATATTCCTAAGTATTTCATTGTTTTTGATACTATAATAAGTCAGATCAATTTCTTTGTTGCTTTTTTCAGAAAACAGTATTAGTGTATAGAAACACTACTGATTTTTGGACTCTGCAGCTTTACAAAATTTATTGATTAGATCGAATAGGTTTTTTTTTTAGTCTTTAGAATTTCTATATATCATGTCATATGCAACAGAGACAGTTTTGCTTCTTTCTTTCCAACTCCAATACTTTTTCTTTCTTTCTTTCTTTTTTTGTCTTGCCTGACTGCTCTAGTGGGACTTCAGTACTATGTTGAATAGAAGTGGTAAAAGTAGGCATCCTTGTCTGGACCCTGATCTTATAGGGAAAGCTTTAAGCCTTTCATCATAGAGTATGATATTAGCTGTGGGCTTGTCATATATAGTCTTTCTTATGTTGAGATATGCTCCTCTATGCTTGATTTGTTAAGAGTTCATTGTGAATGGATATTGAATTTTGCCATATGCTTTTTCTGCATCTATTGAGATTTACATATGATTCTTTTCTTTCATTCTATTATTGTGGCGTATCACATTGATTTGTATATGTTGAACCCTCCTTGCATTAGTGTGCATTCAAATTAGGAAAACAAGGGGCGCCTGGGTGACTCAGTTGGTTGAGCGACTGCCTTTGGCTCATGTCATGATCCTGGAGTCCTGGGATCAAGTCCCACACTGGGCTCCCTGCTCAGTGGGGAATCTGCTTCTCCTTCTGACCCTCCCCCCTCTCATGCTCTCTCTCTCAAATAAATAAGTAAAATCTTAAAAAAAAAAATTAGGAAAACAATGCATGAATAAATAAGTTCAACAAGAAAGTAGGCACCATCTAAAACAAAAAACAGCAGAAATCTAGAGTTAAAAAATACAACTGAACTGAAGAATTCAGTAGAAAGTTTCAAAAGTAGACTTAGCCATGCGGAAGAAAGAATTTGTGACCTAGAGGACATTGAAAGGGATATTGAACATTATCCAGTCAGAGGAGCAAAAGTTAAAAAGAATGAAAAAGAGTGAAGAAAGCCTATGGGAATTATGAGACACAATGAAAAGAAACAATATTCACATTATGGGAATTCCAGATGGAGAAGAGAATGAGAAAAGGACGGAAACTATATTTAAAGCAATCAGAGAACCTAGGGAGAGAAATGGACATTCAGATCCACAAGACCCAAAAGATCCCAAATAGGTTGAACCCAGATGAACTATGCTGAGACACTTTGTAATGAAGTTGTCAAAAGTCAAAGACAAAGAATTTTAAATGCAGCAAGAGAAAAGAGAGAAGTTACATACCAGGGAATTTCCATAAGACTATTGACAAATTTCTCAATAGAACTTTTTAGGCCAAGAGAAAATTAGATGACATATTCAAAATATCTAAAGAAAAGAAGTGACAACCTAGAATTTTATACCCAGCAAAGTCCTTCAGAAACAAAAGGATAAAGGGACGCCTGGGAGGCTCAATTGGTTAAGCATCCAACTCTTGATTTGGGTTCAGGTTGTGATCTCAGGATCGCGGGATCAAGCCCCATGTTGGGCTCCATGCTAAGCATAGAGTCTGCTTTGGATTCTCTCTCTTTCTGCCCCTCCCCTGTTCTCTCTCTCAAATAGGTAAATAAATCTAAAAAAAAAAAGGAAACAAAAGAGTAGTTTCCTGAACAAACAAAAGCTGAAGGGCTTTATTAGCACCAGACCTGCCTTACAAGAAATGCTAAAGGGAGATCTTTGAGCAAAAATAAAAGAATGCTAATTAACACCATAAAAACAGGTAATGTAAATCTCACCAATAATGGCAAATATATAGTATAGTTAGATTCTGCAATATAGTAATAGTGGTGCATAATTCACTTAATCCTAGTTTAAAAGTTTTAAAAAAGTGGGGGGGAGCCTTTGTTTATTTGTTTGA